TAATAATAATATAACTAATAATAACTAATAATAAACTTAATAATAAAACTAATACTACAACTCATTCTATAACAGTATCTTTTGTACTTTTTTATTTTGCTTTTTTTTGTTCTTTCGTTTTCTTTCTTCTTTTCGTTTTTTCTTTCTTCTTTATTCGTTTTATTTTTTCTTTCCATTTTTTTTTTTCGGCCTTTTTTTTTGTCTTTATTTTTCATTTTTTTTCTTCATCTTGCTTTTTCTTTTTAATCTTTGTTCTTATTTTTGGTTCTTAACTACTTCATCTTTTGTGCTTTTTTTATTCTTTCGTATCTTTGTACTTTTTTCATTTTTCTTCTTTCATTCTTTTGTTTTTCTTTCTTCTTTCGTTTTCTTTCTTTTTATTTTTTCTACCCATCTTTAGTTTTTTTTTCTCTATTTTCTTTTGTCTTTTTTGTTCCATTCTTTTTTTTCATTTTGCTTTTTTTTCTTTTACTCTTTATTCTTTCTTTTGTTTCTTTATTTGCTTAATCTTTCATACTTTTTTCATTCTTTTTTCCTTTCTTTGTTCTACCTTTTTTTCCATCTTTTTTTACTCTTTGTTCTTTCATATCTTTCGTACTTTTTTAATTTTTCTTTCGTTTTTCTTCTTTCTATCTTTAATTTTTTTTTGTTAGTCTTTTTTTTATTCTTTTCTTTCTTCATCTTGTTTTTTCTTTTTACCCTTTGTCCTTTCTTTCGTTTCTTTATTTTCTTCGTCTTCTTTTATTCTTTTATCGTTCCTTTTTTTCTTCCTTTGTTCTACCTTTTTCTTTATCTTTTTTTTTTGTTCATTCGTTCTTTTATTTATTTGTTTATTTATTCTTTTTAGTTCTTTCCTTTCTTTTTCTTTCTTTGCCTTACCTTTTTAGTTCTTTCTTTTTTTGCTTTACCTTTTTCTTATACTTTTTTTTCATTCGTTTTTTCTTTTTTTCTTTTATTCAGCTTTTTGTTCTCTCTTTGTTTTCTTTCTTCATTTTACCTTTTTTTTTCGCTTTTCTTTCGTTCTTCCGTTTATTTCTTTTGCTCTTTTATTTCTTCTCCCTTTTTTTTTTCTTTTTTTGTTTTATTTTTTTCTTTTACCTTTCTTTCAGGTTTCCATTTTTTTTCTTTTGCTCTTTTTTTCATTTTTTCTTTTTTCATCTTACCTTTTTTATCTATCTTTCTTTCATTCTCCCTTTTTCTTTCCTTTTTTTTTTCTTTTTTGTTTCTTTATTTTCTTTTTCAGTTGGCTTCTTTTTTCTCTGAACTTCTTTTTTTTTCCAGGTACAATCTCAGAATTGTGAATCGCCATTTGAATCGTTGTCTCTTGAGCGTCGTTACTAGATCTTCGTCATTGATACCGTTATTTTTCTTCGCTAGAATCTTATGGGTAAGTAATTTAAATTTGTTTTATTGTTTTTTTTTTTTTTTTCTGCAACTTTTTCTAATACTTATGTTTCTATTATTTGCATTTTCGCTTAAAACTTTCGTTTGGACTTTCGCTTGAATTTTCGTTGGGACTTTTGCCTGGATTTTCGTTGGGACTTTCACCATAACATTAATTGGCGCTCTCGCTGAAACTTTACATTAGTTTCTTTTTGTTGGTGTAATTTTATAATAAAGCGGGTGGGCGGGCGAGTTTTTTAAATAAAGCAGATGATACTAGCTCTTTTAGTTCTAATCTTTTGTTACGCAACTACATTTGTTGCATAACGAAGTTTTTTTTAAAAAAATGAAGCAGGTGGGTTCTAATTTTTTGTTGCGCAACGATGTGTATTGTGTGTCGGGTGGTTTTTTTTTGTATAAAACTTAGAAAATAAAGTTGCATGATCAATTTTGATCAGTTAATTTTGTATATAAATCATGTGATCGAATTTGATTGGCCGATCACAGGGTCGCTATAAAATAACGCCCATATTTTTTTTTTCTTGTTTTATATGTTTTATATTTTTTTTATTTTTTATTTTTTTATTTTAATTTTTTAATATATTTTTTTATTTTTTATTTTATTTTTTATTTTATTTTTTTATTTTTATTTTATTTTTATTTTATTTTTATTTTATTTTATTTTTTTTTATTTTTTTTTTTTTTATTTTATTTTTTTTTTATTTTATTTTTTTTATTTTATTTTTTATTTTATTTTTATTTTATTTATTTATTTTATTTTTTTATTTATTGTTTAGAGCAAATTAATAAATTTATATTTTTATATCTTTTAATGATTAAAATTATATTTTTGATATATTTATAATAGTAATATCAAAAATATAGTTTGGGTATTTTTTAAATATAATATTTTTAAAAATTTTAATTTATAATATATAACAAAATTTTTTAAAGATTTAAAATATTAAATTAAGCTCCAGACTTACACCGGTTTCCGGTTCCTAGTTATATCTAATATTTAGTTAAGCCAAACAAGCATATTACAATAGAAATTAACTAATGCATATTTATTTATATAACATTCATATACATAATAAATAAAATTTCTTAATACAGTATATTCTACAGTATATTAAAATGGTATTAACAGTCAGCCGAGATGTCGGAGAGTTTATATGTTAGATTTGCATACTTATTGATCAAATTAATAGACGTACCT